TATAGTATTCAGTTCTGGTGAGTTTTTTAAAATCCCATTAAGTGGTTCATGAGGTATTTTGCTGACAGATATACATGGTTGTGTATAGTATGAGTTGTGAATGACTCTTGTCTATTTCTATAGCTAATTTTTTACTCAGTTTCTGTAAAACTAATTGAGTTGCACTGTTTTCTAAGGTTAGCTGGTGGCGGCAGCCATCTTGAARTGATGTGGTATCTGTTATGGAAAATATTTATTTAACAAAGACAGAAATATGTGGTTCTAGAATGAAGGCACTCCGTGGAACGATCAGCTTGGAGGCTTGGGGATAATCCATGGGGCAAGCAGGGGTCATACACAAATGGTCAGATAGCAGAAACAGGTTAGGTGGAGACGACTTAACTCGAGGTTGGGGTACACAGGCAGAGGTCGAAGTCTGAGTATCAGATGGCAGAACAGGTCRGACAGGGAGTGAGGCAGAAGGCAGAGATCCAGAGTCCAGAGCGGGGGCCAAAACCAGGAGATCAGAGTCCGTGTCAGTAGCATTCAGGGCAAGGCAAGAGACATGGAACCAGAGAGCAGAAACAAGGTCAAGATGAGGCAGGCAAGACGTGACATGAATGCTTGACAGCTACTAGGAAAACCGTTCATAAATCTGGCACTGAAYCTGTGGGAGAGAGGACCTTAAATACTGGTGACAACAGGTGATTCAAAAAGAAAAAATATCCTCTGGATGGGTTCTTCTTTAGTGAAACGTTTCATCTCTCCTCCAAGAGACTTCTTCAGTCTGATGAGTTTCAGGTGAACCCAGCCTTATAAGCACTGCCTCCACATGGACAAACAGGTTAGTCACCTGCAAAAGAGGGCCATCACTTAACAATAGGCTTGATTAGCTCTATTGTTCATAGAGGGTCATGTGCCCCATCACCTGACCCCTGTCGTGTTATGTGTATGTAGTGAATGCAAGCGGGGCTCAACTTCCCCTTGTTTTTGTCTCTCTCTCTCCCTCTTTGTGTTGGTATCATTGTGGCCCTGATTCACACCTTTTTGCTCACAGGGGGCTGAATCATACTTGCAGTGACAGCGTTGTAGGAGGAGGACAACTGGACACGAAGGCCTCCACCTCTGTTTAATGGTGGACGGTTATTCTTCACAAAGATGGCTTCCTTTACTCCGCTCTCAAACCAACGTTCTTTTCTATCAAGGATGAGAACATCTTCATCCCTGAAAGAGTGACCGCTGGCCTGTAGATGAGTCTGGACTATGTGGCCCTTGCAGTAGCCATGCTGTGGTTCTTCAGGATCTGGACTATGTGGCCCTTGCAGTAGCCCTGTTGTTTGGAAATTTATTTACTTCTTGAACATGGGTTACTCTTCACAGCTCTGCTACACTTTCGAGGTGATTCAAAATGTGGCAAGGAAGCTGGATGTGACTGAACTCCTGAGAAAAGCCCAAATTTTGAAGACAAAACTGCTCCCATAAGGAAAGCTGACTGTTTTTGTGCAGGTGAAAAGACTTGAAATCTCACACTTGCTCTCCTGCATTTTGGAGGTTGAACTTCCAGGTGAACAATCAGCAATCTCAAACATATCACTGTTATTGTTGAGAATTGATATTAATGAGTATGTAACTGCCGTGTACATTATGTACAGTTTCTGATTGGCAGCATTCTTCAATTATAGATTGTATGTTTAGTGAAGAGATGGAAAGTTGTGCAGTCTAAATAGTCCCATCAGGGCCTGTTTAGTTACTGTAGGTAAATGTTGAAGTAAAGAATTTTGAATACTGTTTTGAACCAAGATGTTACAAAATGATGAGTGTTGGAATTTTTGACACACTGTATCAGTGTGTATCCTGTGGCTCTTGAATAAATGTTTGAACATGCAACTGTTATTTTTTATTTTTCACAAAAACAATAAATAAAAATAAAAACAGTATACAGTACAACAAATGTGCACACAGCATCTACTACAGCATCATGGCGATGTGCTGGGTCAGGCCACAGGACTTCATCTACATCACAGGCAACATTGTCCCTGGTCAGGCAGCGTGGGAGAAAAACTCCTAGTATGGCGGATTCACACTTGACACCAATGTCATTACAGGCCAYTTCCATGGCCTGCAAGACATTTTCCCTGGTATAGCGTTGCCGATCGTAAACCTTCCAATGCCATGAAGAGAAGAACTCCTCTGTTGGGTTGAGGAAAGGGGAGTATGGTGGAAGGAAAACATTCAGGAATTCTTGGTTGATATTGAACCACTCTCTGACCTGGATGGCACGGTGAAAACTCACATTGTCCCTTACAATGACATAGACGGGATGCCCTGGCTGCTCATGATCCTGCTGCTGACGACCTAAAACATTATCTCTAAGATCACCAAAAAATGTCAGGAGATGTTGACTGTTGTATGGCCCCAATGTGGCATGATGGTMGATAACCCCATTGTTGCTGATGGCAGCACATAATGTAACATTCCCACCATGCTGGCCAGGTACTGRAACAATTGCTCGCTGGCCAATCACATTCTGGCCTCTCCTCCACCTTTTGGTCAGATTGAACCCAGCTTCATTCATATATATTCATGGGGTTGTTCTAAGGAATCCAGATGAAACACTCTCTGAAAAAAATACATGTAGTTTTGTAAGTCGTACAGAAAGACATTTATGCTGTAGAGTAGACTGCTGTATTGAACCCGTACATACTGGAATATTTGCTCCTTGACCCTCTCTGAGTTATGGTCAAAGGGTACTCTGTACAGTTGCTTCATCCTCATACTGTTGCGTTTTAGGACATGATCAATGGTGGAAAGGCTGATACTGTCAATGCCTTCAAAACTCACATGGTCTTCAATGATTTTATGCTGTATTTCATTCAGTGTGATTGCATTGTTCTCACGGACCATGTCAACAWTGAGGATCTCTTGGTGTGGAGACAACAAATGTCCTCCCCACATGATGTGGCAGTCTTGCATTTCTACAAAAAAAAAAACATGCATGTAAGTACTAGGCCTATAACGTATATAGGAAAATTCATTACTATAATGGAATACAGTAACCAGAACCCTATTGAGTCATTTTGTAAATATGCAAGTAAGGAACAAAGCAATTACCTGTTCTCCTCTCTGAAACTTCGGACTTTGGTGGACACAYTGAATCGACTTKGGTTGGGCTGAACTCGAAGACCCGCTTCCCTCATTGTCAATCTGTGGACTAAAACATGATCAATGACAGTTGTCCGTATTTCATCTGAAATAATTGTTATTTGTCTTATTCCACCTCTTATGCGCCCCCCTCCACCTCTTCCACCCCATCTTGTTCTTAGACCCCCTCTTACTCTTACTCTTAGACCCCACTCTCTGACTGTTTCTCTCCATCGTGAAGCTTCAACAACCTGGGCCTGTATTTATAAAACAGCTTAGAGTGGATTTTTAGACTTAAGTGCTGAAAATTTCTTAGATTTGCTCCTACTCTCAGACTTAAGTGTGTCAGTTATCAAAATTCATAAGTCTAAGAATCACTCTTACTCTCAATAAAAGTTAAGATTGCTCCAGAGGACTCTTCAGT